CCCCAGCCCTAATATATTTTCAACCTGTAATTGAGTTCATACAGAACTGACTGTATACCAGATTTTCCTTATTTGTCCATTCATTGATAATCACAGGTTGATTTCATATCTTGGATATTGTGAATTTTCATTTATTTTGCATATAGAATTTCTGTATCATACAGTAGTTCTAGTTTAAACCTTTTGAGGAACTCCCATACTAGTTTCCATAATGGCTGCACCAAATTTTATTTTTTAAAAGATCAGTGATGGATTTCTAAGGAAGAAAGATGCATTGGGAGACTTGCTTTAGTCAATAAGAGAAGCAAGTCAGAACTGAAGTAGAATATTAAAGAACAAAACAGGAACAAGAACATTAGAAGCCAAAATAAACCAGACTTGATGGAAGGGATGGAGTGAGTGAAGAAGAGTAGAGTCAAAAATAAAGCACTGAAGTCTCCTTAAATTAATATATGATTAAACGAAATGTGGTTCACCTATACAATGGGATATTATTTGGCCATAGAAGGAAGAAGGTTCTGATACATGATGAAGCATGCAGGATCCTTGAAATGCTCAGTGAAAGAAGCCAGACACAAAAATCACATATTATATGATTCCATATATATGAAAAGTCTGGGGTAAGCATACCTACAGAGACATAATAGATTAGTGGTTATCTGAGAGGGAATGAGAAGTATCAATAGGTAAAATTTTCTCTTTGGGGTGATGAAAATGTTTAAAATTGATTGTGGTAACAGTTGCATGACTATATATTGTATATTAGAAATCATTGAATTGTGTGCTTTTAACAGATGATTTGTATGGTTCGTGAATTATATCTTGATAAAGTTGTTTTTTAAAAAGTCTTTAGTGATCTTTGCCAGAACCATTTTAGTTTGTTTATTAGAAGAGGGAGGGAAGGGAGGGAAGGAAGCGGGGAGAGAGAGAGAGAGTGAGTGTGTGTGTGTGTGTGTGTGTGTGTGTGTGTGTGTGTGTGTGTAGTCAATATTAGTATGCCCATAGGTTATGGTGGAGGTGAAAAGACAACATTTAATTTGACAGGAGCTAATAGGAACTTGAAGTACAAATCCTGTAATTTAACATGTCCACTTTTCAGTATGTATTATAGAGCAGTAGTTCTCAAACATTAATGAGCAGCAGAGTTACTCAGAACTTGTTAATGAACAAATTCCTGGGTTCTTTCTCTAGAGATTTTGATTCAGTGAGTGTGGGCTAGAACATAATAATGTCCATTTTTGACAAAATCCCAAAAGATGCTGTATTTTGACTATGAAAACTTGGAAGCTAAATGTTCCAGTACAGCAAAAATGGCCAAATATACTGTGGTACGCACAGACTATGAAATTGAGATTCTGTGTGGCTATTAAAAACAGTGAATTCTCTCTCTGGATACTAATTTGAAGGATCTCTAAGACCTATTGTCACATGAAAAGATCAATTTGCAGAGTGATGCATGTAGTTTAATACTATTTGTATTTCTTTTAAAACTGGCCAATCTATATATGTATGTGAATATTAGAAAAATGATTGGAAAGTTATACATTTAGTTGATAACCTTAAAGAAGGGAAGTGGAATTGCAGAGATAAAAAGGTAATTTGAGTTGTCAGAGAGAATGTTTACCTTACAAATATTGATTTATTTTTTTAACAAAGAATTTTATATGATGTGATTTTGTAATTAAAATGTTAATTTGTAAAAACATAGAGATTAATGAGATGGAGCAAAGTTTGAGTTTGGAAGGAGATGGGAATAAAATAGGATCAAAAGTGAAGCTGGATAGATGAGCTTATGTAGGAAGGGAACACAGATTCTTCTGAGGCTGGAGGAAAGAAGCCAGAGGTGGGTGCATACATGAAGTGTATAGGTAAGAGAGTGCTACTGGACACGATCTGTAATCCCAGTGACTTGGGAGACTGAAGCAGGAGGATTGCAAGTTCAAGTCCACCCTGGGCAACGTAGTAAGACCCTGTCTCAAAATGAAAAATGAAAAGGACTGGAGATGTAGCTCA